AAATCGGCCGGATTACGTGTGTTGGCAGCACGGGTGGCAGAGTCATTGGTCTCATACAAAGGGGAACGCGCGTGCGCGCGCGCACGAGTACAAGAGTGATTAAGGGTAGGAAAGGGAGAGAGAAAGAGAGAAAGATTAATCTGTCCTCTCATTCTCAGATATGACCGTGTTTAGCCAGAAGCAATGTGCAAAAGGCAAATAGCAGCTTGCGACTGAGAGCACATTTGGGCGATAGTTAAACCGAAAAATGCGCGCCATAAAGCTGAGAGAGAGAGAGAGAGAGAGAGAAAGAACGAATATAAGAGAAAGAGGGAGAAAAGAGGAGAGAAAGAGAAAAGTGAAGCAAGACTAGCTCAAATGGATACTGGAAAAAAAAGTGAGGATAGGGGCAAACAGTCAGGTCAGGAAGGGAGCCGAAACTCGGTCAGGCAGAAAAAGTGTGTAACAGATATTGTGTGTGTGTGTGTGTATGTGTGTGTGCGTATGTGCGGATATGTGTGTATGTGTGTGGTTGGAAAGTGGGGGAGTGATAGGAACAAGGTAAGAAGGATGATCAGATTTGAATGGGTGAACAGTGAACCATCGTCCAATAGAAGCCAATCAGAAGAGGAGAGAGAGAAGGAAGTAGAGGTGTGTGCGAATAGGCAAGAGAGGGCAAGGCGAGCAGAAGTCTGACCTACGGCCTGAGCATCGACGCGATGTGCCCACTGGCTGTAGCCGCGGGTGTGGCTGCAGACAACTGGCTGGCCGCTGGCTAGTGGCTGATGGAGAATTAAGTGCATTCACCGACACAAACTGGTAGTTATGTCTGTGTGTGTGGTGTGTGTGTGTGTGCGGTTACTTTGAGTACAACCGATGGCACTAAAGAGAAGAATGCGAGAGTGTGTGTGTGTGTGTGTGTGCGTGTGGATGAGAATGAGCGGAAGAGAGAATAATAGCAGGGGATGGAGTTGATTGAAACTAGCAGAAACCGCATTAGTCTTCGTGCATAAGCGAACGCAACCAGGCGTGGGCACATTCCCACTAGCACGACCACCGAGGAGGCCATACACACAGGAGAGAAGCAGGCGCAGGCGCAGGCGCAGGCGCAGACGTAGACACAAACACACCCACTACATCCAAGTATACGTCCACGTCGACATTGACACACACAGCCAGACAAGCTCAGGCAATGGGGAGCACAAAGAGGCGAGGTGATGGGCACAGGCTTAAGAGTGAATGAGGCTAGCTGTGCTCAGCTCAGGGCCTAAACCAAACCGGCCGTGGCTGAGTGCACATGGTGGCGAGAGGGCAAGAGAATAAAGGCAGGCGAGAAGAAAGCATTCAAGGCCGTGTAGACTGAACCATCAAGGCGAATTGGCCAGAAGCAGACAGACTAACAAAATTCCGGCTTCCAATCAAACAGCATATATACACATACATACACATACACATACACATACACATACACACACACACACACATACAGAAAATTGGACAGGCAGACAGGCGTTGATATGATTTCGTTACCGGAGCATCATAATTCAGGCAATAGCGGAGCTACCGAAATCGGGCACGCAATGAGCAGGCAGACGAGGCAGAGTAACCACGTCAGCCAATGGCCGGTCTCATGATGCATGTCCCCTTTTCACCTGGGCCAGGTTAGAATTGGCCAAATGATACACAGCCCAAGGTGGGCGACAAGGAAATATGGGAAATTCAACAAATAAACACATGAATAGAAATGAATAAGATGCCAGCCAATGCTGCTGATCATGAATGCCAGACTGTGTTGTCTGAGGCTACTTCTAAGGCTGCGCGAGCACTATCATACTCAATGGCAGCCTGGACCGAGAGGCTTTGTACAAGAGGTCCGGTGCCTCGCGCACGCTCGACTTCTCTCTTGACATCCTGCCTGCTCGACGCATCACATACAGGCGAACACATACACATGCACACAAATACACACAAGCATGAGAGAGTGACGTACAAGAAAGGCGAAAGAAGGAAAATAAGAAAATGTGTGTGTGTGTGTGCGTGAAAACAAACGGAAATATGGGCAACAGAAAGTGGGCAGACAGACGAAGAAAAAGGATGAATAGGAAAGAACACATAGATAGGCACGTGGGCAGAGAGATATGTATAAAGGATGAGTAGACAAGGGATAACAAGAGTGTACAGATGAGGAGACTGAGATAAGCCGAGAAAACGGGAGAACACGAAAAGTGCATAGATGAAGAGTATGCTGGCAACAGAGGAGAGAGAGAGAGAGAGAGAAATATAAGGCTCAGACGGAAATAACGCCCATTAGTGAAGAGAGGACAAATGAAGTCTGAGTTCGAGTTCTAGTGTGAACACGAATGGGGTGCACAAACTGAAGCTGGCGGGCGAGCTAGCGAGCGAGAAAGAGAGAGAGAGAAAAGGAAGCGAGG